TATAATAGGAGAAGGAAATGGAAACCCACTCCAGTATTCTTGCCTGGAAAACTCCATGGACAGAGGAGCCTGGTGGGCTACAGTCCATGGGGTTGCAAAAAGTTGGCCACGACTGAGCACATCAGCATCCTCTTATAAAGTTAATCATATATATTCCCACTTGGTTCTTCATTAGCACCAGGTTCTTTTTCCTTGGGCACAGGTGGGAAGTCAGGCGGCATGGCAGGTTCTGCCCCACCTGATGGGGTTTGAGTTGAAAAAGCTTGAGTCGTTTGTTCAGAGCAGATGAGCCAGGGGGTAGGGTGTTTGGGAGGAAACGCAGGTTTTTGGTGAGAAGGCCCGCTGATGCTTTTGAACTCATATAGTCACAGGCCCGATGATGCCATCTCCTGCAGCCCCACTACACCTGGATTCCCCAGGAGCCCAGGTTGAGTGATGCACATAGCAGCTGCCCAATAACCTTGCACACAGCTGTTGGGAGAGGCTCCTGGGACCCCCCCGGGCCCTCCGCCCCACCGCCTCGTCCCCACCAGGAAGCTGCAGCTCTGGTACCGAGAGGGGTTCCATAGCAGGGCAGATGGAGGCCATCCCCTGCCTGAGATGGAGAGCTTGTGCTGAACCACAGTGCGTTTCTGCCCTGCCCTCTCCTCCAGTCTCTCTCTGCAAGTGCCTTTTCTGAGCCTGGCAGAAAAAGACTAACAGAAATAGACTCCGTCACAAAAGCCAGGAAAGTGCTAGGCTGTGCCAGAGGCTACTGGTGGGTGAAAGTAGGGGTGCAGTCAAGTTCAAACCAGGCCCAGCAGAGGGACTGGAGGCACCCACTGAACTTGGTTCCAGCCCCTCACTGCCCACTCGAAGGAGTCTTTCAGGGCACTACAGCCTTGCTAGGTTGGAAGCCCAGTTCTGTTTCCTGGCTCCTTGATCCTGGATGATGTACTTTGCCTGTTTTCCCATTGCCAATAGGGCCTTTGGAGGGTTAACTGAGTTAATACATGTCAAGCGCGGAGCATGGAGCTTGGCCCGTGGTAAGTGCCCAACAAATGTTAGATGTTATTATTGTTATCACTACTATTAGGTTATGCCTGTTGGAGCCTGCCAGCATGGGTGGGAGAGCACGCAGGGGCCACTGTGGACAGCCATGCAGGCTCCACACAGTGGTTAATGCAGTGCACAACCTGTGCAGCTGTCCATGGATCCTGCAGACAGGGCGGCCCTACTCCAACTTCTGACTAATACAGTGACACTTGAAGTTGGACCCTTTGGGGCAAGGTCTGGAGATTAACAAAGGAGGGGAGTGTGGCTTTTGAGTAGAGCTATGTGGATTCGAATCAGGTGTGGCCTGGCCCTTGAGAAGGCCGTGGTATTGCAACACTGATGGCAAGGATCTTGACCAGATCACTCCTTTCTGGGTCAAAGCTTTCCCTCATCTGTTCAGTGTAGGGGGTTGGGTTAGTTTTGGGAAGGCAAATTGGCCTTCTCTTTGAATGCCAATGCTGATTGATTGGCAGTGGCTGTCGGAGGCTTTGTAAAGTGAAGACGTGAGAGGCCATTTGGGGCTGGGTGGGAAGGGCTCTTTAATTGTTGAGTGATGTCTGTTTTGAGACCAGGGAAAGAGGAGCTGTGGCACGAGTGTTCGGGCCATTCATGCTCCTCAGATAAGCCCAGTGGTTCTCAACCCTGGCTGTATCAGAGGAGGCTTTACCACACTGATTCAGCAATATAGCACCTGGCATTGGTCATTTTTTTGTTCTGAAAGCTCTGCAGGTGATTCTAATGTGTGGCCAGGTTGACAGCTACTGGGGCACACACCCCTCAGTTTCTGGCAGTCCTGCAGTCTGTAACTTCTCGGCATGGTCTATACATTTATGGCACTTTGAGCTTTCTTCTAGTAGAAATGCAAGGGGGTTAAAAAGGCTAGTCTTCCAGTCTTACTGCTGGAGAGGATTTGTTTTTAAGTTGGGAGGCAGAGGCTGAAGGCACAGCTGCGATTGTGGATTGGGGTATCCAGGTGGCCTCTTCTCAGGCTATACTGCGGAGTTTTCATTGCGGGAGGACTGGGTTTTGCATCTGTGGGCGGTCTCACGGGGCTCAGAAAAGCCCAGTCCACTCTGGCTTCATTAGGGAAGCCCTGTGGCTCCTTTAATTTCTCTCTCAAGCTCCTCTCAGTCCCCAGGGAAGGCAGGAAGTCTGGACAATGCAGAGGCCCACTGAGGTCTGCAGGAAGTAATGTGCCCCAAACTCACAGGGCCCTGCTGTGGGTCTTTTGAAGGAGCGCTGGGGGGAGAAGGAAGCAGATGAAAGCTGACTGGGGCCATTGGGCTGGAGAATGAAGGGTCAGGGCGCCAGGCTTGAAGGTGGTGCCTTAGGACCACGGGCAGCCCTGGATGCTGATGGCTCCTCCAAATTACAGTCAGGGTGGCAAAGATGAGATGTTTCTGGGAGGCCACCCCAGCCTCAGCCCCTCCATGGGCCCAGAATCCAGCCAGCTTTCCTCAGCCCCTCCCATCACCCCCACAGGACCCAGCCCTGAAAGTCCAAGGGGCAGGTCATGCTGGGCTTTGCCTCCCACCCGGAGTAAGATAGAAGCAATCAAATAACATAGAATTCGATCATATTTTAAAATAAGCTTTATTTAGATTTTTTTTTAATATTTTATATTTGCATCCATGCCTTCAAGAAACCTTTCCCACGGGAAAGGTTATTTTCATCTAATGTTACCCATAACTCATTCGCTATTTGACGTAGTTCTCTTAAATAAATCATCCTTAGTAACTCTTAGAATTATCTCCTAATTTACAAAAACTGAAATGAAAAGGAACTACTAAATCATTATTACCAGGAGGGGTTGCAACCTTATTTTCTTGTAAGTAAAGGGAAAAACAATAAAAATCAACCAAAAGGGAAAAAAAAATCCATGGGGGGAGAAAAGCATTTCCTAAAATCTCTCTCGCTCCAGCTGCTCTCCCTCACCGCCAGGCTCGGTGAAATGGCTCAGCCAACAGAGCCCAGAAAGATCCTTAGTAGGTACCCTGCCTACTTTAGGTACCTTTTCCAACCCCCATCAGGTCAGAAGGAAAGGGAGCAGTCGACTGGGGCTTTTCTGTTTTAGAGACTTTGGAAAAAATATCCTATCCCTTCTGATAAGAGATGCTTCAGCATTTAAAAATCTCTGTTTCTTGGTAAGAGCTGCAAACATTACGGTTAGCAGAAAGCGCAACTACTGTTGTTTAGAGGGTGTGTGAATTGAGCTGTTAGTAGTTAAGGTGGTTCAGAGTGGGAATTCACAGGTCAGAAGAACAGGAAAGGCTAGTTTTAGGCCATGGGAGATCCTGGCTTAGAAGCTCACATGTTCTCCATCACCCGGCCTTACAACGCTCACAGTTCCTTTGCTGGTGAAGCCTCACTGGGACCAACACTGCTCCCCAAATAGGCAGGCATTTCTGCCAGCCCTTCTCTCCTGGGGTGAGTGCGCTCAAGCTGCTGTGACAAGTTGGAGGACAGGGCCTGAGGAATCCCAAGAGACTCTGTGAGTTGTGGGTGGAGGAACCAACCAGAATAGGGAGGGCAGAGGTGCTGGATGCTGTGTCTCCAACAGCCCTCCCCCTTGAGATGGGTGCCTCCCCCATGACACCTGCTTGGCCAATGTGCAGAATTAACCAAGGATGAGAGAGACACAGCTGCAGGGAGGGGTGGGGGCCGCTCCAGGACCCCTGGGGAACCCACTTGGGCCGAGTGTCCTTGGGGTCCTACCCTGTGGTCATGCAGTTGGCTGTCTTGCCCTGTATTCAGCCTCTCTCCAAAGACAGACCCAAGAGAAGGTGACCACGACATCAGGCGCTCTGCTCACTGAGGTCAGTGCTCTGTGTTTCAGATAAATAAATATGTATAGAAAGGCCTGGAGAGAGCTCTAGGTGTGAGAAAGGCAGAACACACTTTCCATGCAGGGGCGGGACAATGGGGGAGAGAAAAGAAAGAACAGAAAAAAAGCAAGCTTGGAAATCCAATGGTCCCTGGGTTCTGGCCACCCTAAACTCTACCTTGCACAGTTTGGCAGCAGCATGATCATAGAACAGACAAGTCAACAGAGAACCCGCCTCCCGCCCGCCCCCGTGGAAAAATATACATTCCAATATTTATGTAATAATTTAGCTAGAATAAGTCTTCTGCATTTGTGCAAATAAATTAAACGGAACAATTTTCTTTTCCCCGTAAAGAAAGAAACGGCAACGCAATTTAAAAACTGGCAGGGCATTAAAAAGAGCCCGTTTGGCCTCTGACAAGCCCAGCCAGGACAGGGCCCCTTGGCCGGGCTTGCAAGTCTCTGCGGAGAGTGGACCTTACCCTGATGACGATGGCCTTTTGGGGTTAAAGTGACTTGGGCGTGCCCGAGAACAGGGTCTGGTCCCACGCGTTCACACTGGAGGGGGGAGGCAGAGTGGGGTGGTGGTGGGGAGGAAACATCAAAAACAGACCACATCCTCAGGGAGACGGGCTCCAGAAGTAGCAGTTTGGACGAGGGACATTTACAAGCACAGAGGGCACAATAGTTTTGTTATTTACAAATACACAGCAGTCCTTCAAGTTTTCAAGTTTCATAAAAAGGAGGCGGGGAGGGAAAGGGACCAAAAAAATCCCCCAACGAACCGAACAAAAAGAAAAAATAAAAACATTGAAAAAAACAAAAACAAACCCAGATTAACAACACAACTGTATCGCTCCAAGGACAACAGAGAGTTGACATGTTCACACACGGTTGTAGTATGTACATCAATTACAGAGGTGACGACGCAGGAGAGGGGCCCACGTGAGCAGGCTCGGCCACACCCACGCCCACGTACGCGCGAGATCGCGCACACACGCACCACCATGCACGCCCAGCCGCACACCCCCCCGCTCGCACGCACGTCCACACGCACAGACACGCCCGCTGGGCAGCAGGCGAAAGGGAGGCGGGTATCACCAGTCCGCGTCCTCCTCTATGTAATAATCAGGGGCGGTACCATCAAAGAGGCCGGGGTCGAGGGACTTCCGCTGCTTCCCTCTGGCGAAGACACGTGAGATGGAGCCGAATCCCATCTTCTCTTTCTTCTTTTTCCGTTTTTGGTCTTCAAGATCCTCTAGTGACTGTGGAGTCGGGCCAGGTGATGGATACGGCGGGGAGAAAAACAAAGAAAAGCTGAGCTGGGGTGGAAGACAGGGAGGGGTGGGGGTGGGCAGGCAGGGTTGGGGGGCATCCGTGGGTAGAGATGCTAGGGTCTGCCCCTCACTCACTGAGCGGACTTGGGCCTGTTACAGAACCTCTTGGGGACAACACTAGGACCCATCCAAAACTGTCATGAGGATGTCACTAAAGTGAAGATAAAAAAACGCTTAGAACAGCGCCTGGCACACAATAAGCATTCATAACAGCTGCTGTATTTAAATTCAGTGCGCTGTCCACGGCCTTCCTGTGCTTGTAGAGGGCTTGCAGAAGCGTGCCCATGCATGCTGCCACGGCTGGCCACAGGGCCCATGAGAGGAGCCCTTTGGAAAAGGGGGCGTTAGGAGAATACGGACAACCAGGGAGGAGAAAACCAGAGCTTCATGTCAGCCAAGAGCAAGGACCCTGGACCTTAAGGTTCCCAGGTCTGACAAGTACTATACCCGTACTGACAAGTACAGTACTGACAGGAAGCAGTACTGGCCTCAGTAGAGCTGGGAGGCCAGGGTTGGGTTCTGATCTTGATTATGTCACTATCCGGGGAAACCTGGAGAGCCCCCACCTTCTCTGAGCCCAGTTTTCTCATCTTGTGACGCAGGGATTGTTAATAATGACAAAAACAATGATGAGAAGGAGGAGCTCTTTCTCTCAGGATAACTATGGGTTTGCAGCTTTGCAAACTGTCAAGTATTTTATACCAAGATGCAGGGTGGTGGTATTGGTCAAAAAGGTGGAGGTTAGAGTAATGGTTCCTCAAACCACATCAGAATTACCTTAATTCCAGCCACCTTCCCCACACCCCAACCTGGCAGATTAGAATCTCCAGGGTGAAGGGTCTAGGAATCTGCAATAGAAAAATCTTCACTGCCAGACCCTGATGCAGACAAGCAGTCCAGAAGACCAGCGTGTGGGAACCCTAAGATGAGAGAGCTGACCTCGGAGAACCCCTCTGATCCTCAAATCCATGTTTTCCTCCCTACAGCCCCTTCCTCGCTCTTAAGATAGTGTACTGAAATGTTAAAAATGAATTTTAAAAAGTTTCCCGTAGCAAGAGGTCCAAAGAGCCCAAGGCCCCCGTCACCAGCCTGTGGCTGCCAGAAGACACTCAACAGGGTCATATGGAGGATGTGGGATGCTCTTAGTAGGTCCACAGACCCAGAAGAGGAGGTAACAGGGCAAATCCAGGTGCTGAGCCCAGCTCATGCACCAACCCACATGTGACTGAGGTTGTGGCTTAACTCCTGTCTGCCCTGGGTGCCCAAGTATGGATGTGGGAATGCTGAGGGCCCAGGGGAACAAGTGAAGTCACGGCCAAGGAAGGGCCCAGGGAGGGCCTGCGTGGCCAGGGAAGGCACACCTACCTGTACAATGGGGTTGTGCAGGTTCTTCTGAACTGGGCCGGGACTGTCGCCCTGTAGCCAAAGGAAAGGAGGAAGATGAAACAGCGGAGACACACACATATGACAAAAGAGGTGGCCCGTGGAGCACGGGCTTTTCCGTGGAAGGAAGTCAGCCCTGAGGGACTGCCCTGCCTCTGGGGAATCCACCCTCCACCCCTAAATTAGACACGTCCCAGTGGCTCAGTCATGGCACCTTGGGTTCATGGAGATGCTGCCTGGACCACGGATCCTGGCCAGAGGCCCTGAGGTGATCTTCTGCCCGTTCTGGCTTCTTGACCCCTATTACCCTCTGACCAACAAATCTGTCACTCAAAGGCTTCAAAGTTCCTCTCCTAATTGACCCACTGAGTTAAAAACCGGAAGTTGGTTACACTTGATGCTTTTCATAAAGAGGTATAACTTTACAGAAAAGCACAAAAATAAAGAATTTTGGGACAGGAATACTTGTGAGACTATGCAGCCTCTTAGTAATATTTCCCTCACAAATAACACAATAAATGTCTTATTGTGTGGAGGGGCAGACAGGGCTCATTAACCTGATTTATAGATACACAGAGAGGTTCCAAACAGTCTAACATTATAAAGCTAATTAAAACTAGAGCTACAACTCAAATTCAAGACCATCTGTTTTTTCTTGGTCTAGTGCTCCTTCCTCTGAGTGTGCAAAAGCCCTCACTATATCCCAGAATCAATCTGCCCTGCTTGGGGTTGGGGCATAGATCACTGGGATCACAAAAGTCATTACTAGGGCGACTCCTGGTGGTCATTTCCAGAATTGCTGGTAAAAAGCAAGAAACAAAGCATGTGTCACCTGAGTCAATGTCCATCTTCTCCAGCCTCTCTGTGCTGAGTCCCCACCTCTGCTCTAAATAAGTGACCAAAGCATGAAAGGATGGGGGTTGCTTATGCCAGGCCAGGCTGTTCTTGCAGGTATCAGGTCAAATGCCTGAGAACAGAGCTATACCTGGAGCTATTTTCAGGTTCTTCTGGCTTACCTGTAGGCACATCTGTTGAGATGGGGGATGGAGGTGGTTGAGGGAGGGCAGGGATGGAACAAACAGTAGTTTAGTCTTTAGTCCCATCTCAAGGTTTGTAAACAGAATCTATCTATCTGCCAGGCAGCTAAGGTAGGTTGGTTCTGTATAGAGCCATCTTTGCCAAATTTATGGATGAGAGAATGAGGATGGAGCCCAATGAAATATCTACATACAGACTGGCTTATCAAAGCACCCACTGCCTAGCAGCAGGGCCCTGTGTAAAGTGAGCTTGGGAATAAACATGCCAGACCTGCTCTCTGTAGCAGCAGGTTATGTGCCAAGGCCAAGTTGCACAAAAGGCTAGATTTGAGCCAAATGCAATTCTGGAGGCCTTTAAAGAACACTTTCTGCAGGGTGGATTTCCCAGTGGCATTTTGACTGTCAAAGCCCCACTGGGAAGACAAAATATGGCCCTTGGGAAGGTCTTCTTATTTGAGGTGTGCTCAGATACTACGGGGTATCTGGCCCACAGTAAGAATGAATGGCAGTGCTGGCTGTAGGTATAACTCAGCAGCGACTCCTCAGAAAAACAATAATGTCAGAGGACCCTCTACCGGCCAAACCTTCCTAGCCTTGGTTCTGTCAGGACAGCCTTTATCACCAGAATTCTCTCCTGGGAACAAGAGAAGAACAGATTGCTTCCTTCAAGCCCCAGTGAAAACAGAATCCCAGTCCTGAGTGGGATTCAGGCCCCCTTCCCATCCTCACTTGGCTTCGAGAGGCCCCAGCCAGCAGTCCTATCACCTACACCACCAGGCTGAGGCAATTCATTTCAAGTTAGTCTTAGCAATTAAGTGCTTTTCATTGTTATTGTAGATTTGAAAAAAAAAAATGCTTCCATTATGATTACTAATATAGAAAAGTTACTGATTTTTATCAATTGATATTCTACCAGTACTGATATATACTTCTCATTATTAGTGTAATGGCTTTTCAGGTTATTCTCTTGAGGTTTTCCAGGTAATCACCCCACTGGCAAGTAACAGTTATTCTGTCTTCCTCTCCCACTATATCCACCTCATTTCTTTTTTATTACCCATCTCAGTGGTTAATAGAACAACATAAACCGAGTTTTTGAGAAAGCTTGTCTGTGCATTTGAAGACCTGACTCTGCTGTGTCTTTAGGACATGGCAGGGGAGCCCCATGGATTATTAACCACGTGATACCCTGACTCCAGTGTTTCATGTTCGAGCCTTGATGTGGAGGCTTCCTGTCCTCAGACACTTGACCCACATGCCTTTGTTCACCGCCCCCATTCCTGGGAAGCCTGTCTCCCCACCAGTCATCAAGAGTTAGGTGGCTACTGACCTGCACCTCTTGGTAGCTGGGACCCAGTATACAATCAAAAAGCATGTGATTAAGTAAGCAAAGCAAACAAACTTAGAACAAATTCACTGGATGCCTCTCCAGAAGCAAAACATGCAAAAACTCCTGGAGATTAGGAAAAAAAAAAAAAGTCTGGCTGATTCCAGGATGAAGGACCAAGAGCTGGTTCTACGGGGAAATGGGAGTGATGGTGGTGGTGAGATCCTGAGCTCGGAAGGTGGTCTGGGAGGAGACGCCCATGGTCTCAGACAGCCCACCACAGGTAAGCCCAGGCTGCTCAGCCCCTGTGGCCGACCCAGGCCCGCCTTCCTCTGGGTTTTCCTCGCCCTCCCGGACAAAGGAGCCAACAGGCCTCATTTCTTTCTCTCCCCACATCCATCTCTTCTTGCAAAAGGAAAGAACAGAACAGGAAATGCCTCCGCCAGAATGCTCCCTGGGTGGACGAGAGGAAACAGCGGGTAGGTCTTCACCCCTCCACCCCCACCCCTGAGGTTTCCAGGTGGGGCCCATGGCCCGGGCCCTGCGGCTGCTGGCCTTACGTTGCAGAGGGAGTGTGTCCGGTGTCGGGGGGAGTTGATGTCGCTTGGCGTGGACGACCGGTCGCCTTCGGCGGCAGATGCGTCGGAGATGACAGAGGGCTGCCGGGAGTGGCAGGGGCTTACCCTGACTGCTGGAAAGCAGGGACAGTTGGTGAGTGGGGGAGGGAGAGGATGTTTGTGCCTTCACTGCCTTGCAGGTTGTACAGTCCGTTATACAGATGGGAATACTGAGACATATAAAAGAGACTTGTCCCGCTCTCCACCCCTCTATTCCACAGCCCCACACATCACCAGGGAACTGCTGCTGGCAAGAATCTCCAGTCCCTGGATCCAACAGGCCCCCTCCTAACCAGGATGAAGAGAAGAGGCAAAGTTTTCAGGCACCTTGGTGATTGTTTTTCACAATGCTCCTGCTGCCTGGATGTTACCTAGACCTGGTGCAATCCTAACAGCTGGTCAATACCAGTTTCTCAAGCAAGAAGCCTTGAAGCCACCAGTGGCTCCTCTCTCTCTCACTCCCTCACCCCAGAGCCAATCAGCGGCAGCACCTCCAAACACAGCTTTAAATCTGGCCACTTCTCTCTAGCCCCCTCACCACTACCCTAGCCCAGGTCACCACTGTCTCTTGCCTAGAAGACCATGGCAGTCTCCCAGATGGCCTCCACTCCTCACTGCAGTGAGAGCCAGGCAACCGGTCTCATTTTACCTGGGGGTAGAAATGCAGTCCTCCTGCAAGCGAAGGGATTCAGCCCTGCCCACCTCCACCCAGCCTCAGCTCATGTCACACCGGCTTTCGGATGGTGCCTGACATGCAGTCTTTCCCTCCTGCCTCAGCCTTCCCTGGTCCTGCTGCCTATAGGGCACATTCTCATCCTTCAAGTCTCAGCCTGACCTGAGAGAAACCTCTCCCCACCCAATTATCAGCTCTCCCCACTGTCTCTTTTTCCCCATCAAAACGCCTGCTTTCTGTTGATTTCTCTCCCTGAACTAAGATCTGTAATCATACTTTGTCAATTTAGTTACATGTGTTTTCTGTATTCACACCTACAATGCCAGCTTGATGAGGGTGGGCATTCTGGGTGTCTTATACACGTCCAACCCCAGATCTCGTGGTACCTGGCATGTAGTAGGTGCTCAGTTAACAGCAGCTGAATGCCTGTAAGCCCACCAGAGTTCCCCCAGCAGATCACTCTCCTGGCTGTTGGCGCTGGCCCTGGATGGAGGAAGCACTTACTGCTGGACAAGACTGAGGGCCTATGGTGTGCAGGCAGCGCCTCAGCAGTGAGGGCTACATTACTGAGAGGCGATCCTGCTGCCAGAGGCCCTAAGGTGGGGTGGGGTGGGGTGGGGTGGGTGACTTTGGAGTCAGAAGCTTGGGTTCCTAGCTAAGTTACAGCAGGACCCACAGGCTCCAGGAGCGAGCTGCCTGTCTCTGACCTGCACCTGTCACATAAATGCCACTCACAGGAGGGACAGAAAAATGGAGCCAAGTGTGCTGCAGATGTGCAGAGAGGTTTGGGGCTTGTACTGTAGCCGGTGGGTCTAGATGTTGACCAGAGGCTGAGCCCCTCTCCCCACCAGTGCCTGGAGCAAACACCCCTAACATTTATTTCTGACCTTCCCACACATCCAGTGATTATCTGGAGCTGTCAATCAAGGAACTCTCACTGTCTCCTCCACCAAAGGATGCCCATGTGATCCGGACGGGAGGATCAGTGTGTCCACTGTCCGACACTGTGATTGGTCCAGGGGTGGGCATATGACCTGGCTGGCCAATCAATGTAACCACTCTCTAGACACAGTGATTGGTTTGAATATAGGCATGTGACCTTGGCTGGCCAATCAGAGTCCGTCTTTGGGATTTACTATACATAGAGAGAAAGATTTCTCTTAAGACTTTAGAGCTGCTGGGGCCCTACAAGCCAGAAACTACTGGCGACTGTTTTCTGTTTTGTAGCTAGAAGTAGTCTAAAGATGAGGCCAAATGGAGGCAGGCAGAGCTGAGGGATGGAGCGAGTCAGACCCAGATATTGTCTGAACCTTGGTATCCAGCTACACTTGAGGTCCATCACTCTGATTTTTCAGTTACCCTGAGCCGTGGCCTCTGCTCCGCGCCCCCCCCCCCCCCCCCCAAAGCAGCTGCGGTGTGTAAAGAGGATGCTCGCCTCCTGAGATGCCTCCACAGCTGTGGCTGGGCTGGACTCACCTTGCCGGTCCGCGGGGTGGGGGGGATGTGAATGGTAGAGAGTCTGCTGGCTCTGCCGGATGGCTGCGGTCAGCGGGAGGTCTGCCTGCACCACCCACTCCTGGTTGCCATTAAGCACCGTCTCGCCGGGCATGGCGAGTGAATGCCGCTTGGGGACGTCCTTGGTCAGTGTGGCTAAGGACTGCTTGGCCTGGAGAGAGAGTCGGGGAACAGGAAGAAGGCCATGTGATCACGGGGACTCCTCTCTGCCTACTGCTGGGCCGTCACCCACCATCCTGAGAAAGCCAGGCATCTGACACACCAGGGCACGTCCAGCTCTGCACCACCTGCCAATCAGCACATCACCTGTGGTGTGCTCTGGGGTTAGTCATCCTTTACTTCCTGCCAACACACAGTCAGACCACAAAGGGGGAGGGAGGACACACTTAGCACCCATTCTTTTGGTGTCTCTAAGGACCAGCTGGGATTTGAATGAGATGGTAAGAAAGTGCTGTTTTGCCCTTTTTTCCTTGTGCTAAGTCACTTCAGTCATGTCCCACTCTTTGCGACCCCATGGACTGTGGCCCACCAGACTCCTCTGTCCATGGGATTCTCCAGGCAAGAATACTAGAGTAGGTTACCATGCCCTCCTTATTCCTGACCCTTTCCCCCCTTACCTCCTCCCAAATTCAGCCTGTGATGACCCCTTCGCAAGGTGCTGTGCAACACATGCTGGGAACAGGGCAGACCCTCAGCCTGGCTCTCAGGATTCCATGAGAACACGTGAGACACAAGGAAATCTGGGACACTGTGGGGCTGAGCTTGGGCAGGTGATTATTCACCAATAATCAGACAGGTCTTCCTTTCTCTGTCTCATGGCTGAGGTCACAGAGCTTTGGGTTAGCTCCCCACCAGGGTATGGGGGGGGGGCGGTCTTATTAGAAGTCATCCCTAATTATTCAGGGAAGAAAAAGGGTACATATCAGAAATGTATTAATGCCTAGTCTTCCCATCATAGTCAATTTCTGCTTCCCCACTTACTCCCCAGGCTCATGCCAGGGGAGGGGCCCATGGGCTCGAACTGAGAACAGATGGCAGGGCCACCACGAGTGCTGGCTTTGCCCCTAATATGAACACAGATGAAATGGAAAGACTTCATCTCATCTTTTTCCTAGCTCCAGAACTTTCCATACCCCAAGACCCTGGGCTCCTCCAGGCAGAGAAAGAGATTCCAGCTGAGAAATGAAGTCCTTGGCCTAAAGCCTGATACAGCCTCATCACATTGACCGGCTGTGTTATTTTAGATAAATCACTGCCTTCTCTGAGCCTTGGTTTCCCCATCTGTGTAATGAAAAGTTTGGACCAATCTTTAGTGTTCTCTCTAGCTTGGATATGCCAGGAGTCTATGAAATCACTTCCCTTCCACTGCCAGCCCCCAGGGAATATAAACCCCCTTGGCAGAGAGAGGCTGAGTTGAAGGAGTTAGCTTCTCATCCACTAGCCAGGTGATAATCTTCACCTGGTTTAGAAAACTATCATGTACTCAAGTGTACAGCCCTGGGTCTCAAGTAGGGAGTGCAGGATTAGCTGTGCTTGCCAGAAGATAAATCAGAACTCAGAGAAGTTAAGTAACTTCTCTAGGAGTGCACAGCAGGCACGATGTCAAAGTTGGGCCCCAAGCCTGGAAGCCCCATGGTTGTCTATGGTGCCCACCCTCCTCTGGGGCAAGGAAATAACCAGCACAAGTGATGCAGACTCTGAAGCCATGAGGCAGAGAGTGGGGTGTGGTGGTCACCACAGGATCCCCAGCACCTGGCTTGGGAATGGGCACAACGAGTGAAGCACTCAGGAAAACTGCAGAGGGACTGGAAGCAGGTCTCTGCCATGTCCAGGCAGACAGCCCAGGGAATCTGCGCTGTTCAGTTACTACAGGAATAACGGAGCAATCCTTTTACCGAAGGAAGGAGCCAGGCTGGCTGTGTCTTGGAGCTGCCGTGTGTCTGCAGCAGGCCCACCAGCATCATGGACGTGTTTCCTGGACCACTGCGCCTCACTGGGGACCACATCTGCTCTCCCCCCAGCTGTCCGTGCACCTGGCCTCCCAGCCCTCCGTCCTGGCTCTGCTCTGTGTAGTTGGCAGCCCCGCTCCCTGGCTTCCTTCTGCCCGACCCAGCTTAGCTGCCGGACAGGTGGGCTCTGGTGGGAAGTGAGCACCTGGTCAGCCTGCCATCAGTGCTAAATGACTCTCAGTTCTGCCCTCTTGCAAGCATCCCCAGCCACGCACATGGAAAGCACAAGCAAGTCCAAGTCACCCCTTGAAATGTGCAGCCCCTTGAGGCAGCCCAGCAAGAGGCCCGGGCAGGACCACTCTCCTGTCCCCACCTGGCTTCCTTCTCCCAGGTGGAGCCTCACCTCTGTCTAGGCCTGAGAGCAGCACCTTCTAGGAATAACTCAGCAGGCAACTTGGCATTATTCCTGCCTGATAATGTGGAGGAGCCTACACACAGTGCTGTAGGATGGAGCGGGTGTATCTGTGAGTTCTGAGCACAGGAACCTGTCACAAACTGTCCACTCATGAGTTTAAATCTCCAAGACTGAGCAAAACAGAGATGTGAACTGCAGATGAGGCATGTAAAGTCTAACTTAAAATACTTGCATGTACACACACACACACACTCTCTCTCTCTCTCGATGCTGCACTGGATCATTTTTTCTTTTTTTTTGGTGGCAATCCGCACATTTCTCTACTAATCTCCTCCATTGAATGCAGTTCAACACTAGGAGCTCACTCTTCTCTCTGAGCCTACACGCCATGCTGGGCACCCTGAACCCACAGTTTTGAGCTCCTGGGAACTGGTGAATTGGCTCAAACACCCTCGTGTGACAAAAGTCAGACAGAACATGGAGCCAACTCCATTTCTACTATTTGACTTGCTGTGTAATCTGGAGTGAGTTACTCCACCACTCTGAGCCTCAGGGTCTTCACGGTAAGATGGGGAACTGAGAGGGATCATTATCTGTAAGTGCGCCCCCCTGGAGTTGTGGGACAAGGAAGCCCAGTATAGCGCCTTGGAGCCTGGCCTCTGGGATCCAACAGCCTGGATCTGAGTCCAGCTCTGCCACTTCCTAGCTGGGGGATCCTGAGAGAGGCCCCCTCGCCTGTGCCTTCACACCCTTGTCTGTCTGATGAGGAAACATGGTTGCTATGGAGAGCACTTGGCCTATGGTTTAATAAAAAAAAAAAGGCTCAATAAATGTCAGTGACTGTTATTATGAAACAGTTTCCACTTCAAAAGTAGGAGTCAGACATGGAATAATTCACAGGAAGGCCCAGGATACTGTCTGGTTTGCTGTCCAACAGTAGCAGGCTGTTAGGATTATTTATGCCTCTGTGAGATTGGATAATCCAGGAAGTAGAAGGCAGGAGGAGTGTGGAGCCCTGCCCTCCTCCCCCTCAGGTTCCTAACTGCCTGAAGGCCAGGCTGTGTTTCCAGTCAGAGAGTTGGCCTGAGGGGCTTCCCAGGTGGCACTGGTGGTAAAGAACCCACCTGCCAATGCAGAAGACATAAGAGACGTGGGTTTGATCCCTGGGTAGGGAAGATCCCCTGGAAGAGGGCATGCCAACCTACTCCGGTATTCTTGCCTGGAGAACCACACAGACAGAGGGGCCTGGCAGGCCACAGTCCAGAGGGTCGTACAGAGTCAGACACGACTTAAGCAACTTAGCATGCCAATTCAGGAGACATAAGAGGCATGGATTTGATCCCTGGGTGTGGAAGATCCCCGAGGGATATCTCTCCCACCAAAGCCTGGGAGGATTTCAGGACAGGAACCTTTCAAGGAAACATGAGAAGGTCATGCTCGGGTGGACTCCAGCTGCACAAACGCTGAGTTTGCACTAAAGAGGCATCACGTTGGCTACAAGCGGACTCGACGACTGTCTTCCTGGGCTAACTGTGACCCTGTCCCAGATCTCAGGATGTGGTGGCAGTGGGTCCAGTGTGGAGGCACCAGAATGAGCTGATAGGGCAACACTGGGTCCACACCTTCTCCAAGTGCCCCAGAGGGTGGAGAGAGGCGCTATGGGGGACAACGTCAGGCTTGGGCAAGCTCTGACCCTCACATGTGTGGCTGGGGGGTCTGAGCTCAGGCCCAATGCTCGGAGCTGGCTGTGGGCAAGGGCTGGTCTGCTGGGCCAGGATGGCAGTGGTCCAGGGATGGGAAGTGTGCTGTGTGGCTGGGCTGATTTCCTTAGAGGGAGGGAACCCAGAGGTGGCGTCCACCCAGTGGTGGCGCCAATCCAGAGCACAGCTGTTAAAAAAGGAACCCAAACCACCCTGGTCCCCCTGCCACTCGACCCTGCCTCTCACTGGTGCTCACTGTGCCAGCCTTGCCTGGGCATGTGACAGCTGTCACTTTTTACATATGAAGGAACTGAGGCCCAGGCCATTCCACGTCACACGATGACCGGCTAGTAGACAGGACATGAGAATCCACAACTCTTCATCTCAGGCCTGAGGACAGGATGGTCTCCAACATCAGTAAGAACAGCTAACGTCCACTGATGGTGGAAGGTGAGCCTGCCTTCATCCCTCATCACCGCACCTCCCAATCACCCCAGGAGAAAAGTCTTCTACACATGGACACAGGCTCAGAAAGTTAAGTCACTTGTCAAAGGTCACACGGCCAGAAAATGCAGGACCCAAACTGGGACCGTGTTAGAACTGACCAACCAGGGCGCAAACAGACGCCGAGACGAGGGAATCCTATACTCCATTCTTGAGAAACATCCTGCTCTATAGAGGAGTGGTTCTCACCAGGGTGAATTCTCTCCCCATCCAGGGGACTCTGGGAAATGTCTGGAGACTTTCCCGTAGTTGGGAGGTGCTCCTGGCGTCTAGTAGGTGGAGGCCAGGGATGGGTGCTGCTGTACAACCGACTGCACTGGATGGCCCCACCAGATTCTCTGACCCCAAATGTCAACAGTGTGGAGGGCGAGAAGCCTTGGTAACAGTGTACATAGTAAACTTAAGAATTGTTTCTATTTTGGAGAAGCAGCGTTGATACAAAACAACAAAAGTCTAGGCCACCAGGAACCAGGCTCCAGGGAAAGGCCTTGCACCTGGGATGGGTGGGGGGGGGAAGCCTGTGAGCTCTGGGCTGGCAGCCCTGTCTCCGGCCTGCTCACTGCTAAGAGGGGGTGTCTCCTCCAGGCCAGCACCTGGGCATCCTTTTAGAGGCCTCCCATCACAGAGCATGAGGACTGCCGGACTCCCAGCTCTGCCTCTCAATTCTCTGGTCAGCTCTGGGTGAGCCTCCTGCACGCCAGACCTGTTTCCACATCTGTGAAATGGGCACAGTAAGAATATACAGCTCACTGGAGTGACTGCTAACAGCTATGGTTTCTTATTAGGGGGAGGAGAGTGTTCTGGGATTAGATAGTGGTGATGGTTGTACAACTTTCTGAACATACTAAAAACCACTAAATTGTACATCATAAAAGGATGAATTTTATGGTATGTGACTAGTATCTCAATAAAACAGCATGCTGAACAGTTTTTAAATTAACAAAACCACCACCACAGGGTGGTCCCGTGGAGCCAGTGTGGCTGCAGAGGCGAAACTGCTCCTTGGGTGGGAATGCCTAGTTTGGCCAGGAGTTGTCATCAGGAGATGTCCCTTCCCCAAGGGTGGGAGCCTCAGGTGCCCGTCACCAAACACCAAGAGAGGTATTCATTTCTTGGGAAGCTGTGTCTTTGTCTTTTTCTTACTCAAGTGAAGCGGCCCTTTTCAGCTGCATAGGGTGTGTGGAGCTGGGTAGGGGAGGGATGATTCCTGATTTGGGACAGGGCCTGCCCGCCCCTCACCTGGCAGCTGCCTCAGGTCTTCAGTGTTGTGGGCAGGTCACTTAATGAAATGACCCATCACTGGTGCCATAGCCAGAACTCCTAGAACAGGAGTAAGCAGGTGACCCTAGATGGGCCATTTGGATATCCTGTACTGGATCAGCCTTTTAAAAACTGAAGTGAAATCCAGAGGACAAAGGGTTCAGGTTCATCCTCCTGGCAGGGGTCACTGAGCGGACCATTCCAGATGGACTTGTGGCTTCCCCACTGGCTGAAGCTGCCTTGGCTTTGGCCCGTTTCCAAGCTGACCCTCCACTTCCCCACCGCACCTGTGAGCTCTTGACTTCCTTCCAGTGCATGCGGTGTGCTTGAACTAGCCAGAGCTGCTTTCTGTTGCTTACAATGCAAGGACTTGGGGCGCACACGCAGGGAAAGTGCCTTCCATCTGCTCTCGACCTGGCCAGCAGTGCAGTGAGGGGAGCCAGACAGCACTGACCGGAGTCTTGGAGGCCTCCAGGCTGTGAAATTCTGCAATACAGGGGACCTCCAGGCAAGTGGACACACCAACAACACGGGGGCTGTCATGGGCTGTGTTGATGTAACAGCAAACCCACCACCTTGAGCTGCAAATATTCACCTCTCTATTCACACTTAGCAGAGAGGTGTGAAACTGGCCAGAGGGAGGAGGCAAGGGCCTAAGTGCCACTGGCCTTAGGCTCTTAGAACCAAAGCAGGCTGAGTCACCCGGGCATGGTGAGTGGAAGTAGAGATGAGCTGGCTCCTAGTCCTGAAAGACACCAGAGTTCCCCAGCATGCCTGCAGCTCGTGGTCCAAGGCCATGAGGACCCAGGTGTCCATAGGACACCAGGAAGACTTGGCAGAATAGCGGTCTTGTCTCACCCCAAGCCCCCTTCCTAGATCTACAACTTAAAAGGTTTTTGTCTGGTCTGTATGTGGCAGCAGGGCCGCCAGCACCACTGACCCCACTGGTGGGAAGATCCCAGAGACCCAGGAGATGGAACTTCCTCTAGCCTGGGAAGCTCTCACCATTAGGGGTCAGCATTGGACATGGAGACCCAGGAGGCAGAGGGTGGGATTGGTCCCAGGAAGTGGTCCATGGATCCTGACCTGCCCTGGGCAACCCCTGGTCCTGAAAGAAGTGACTATTTAAAACCTTCCCGTTGTCATATCATCACTCACCATGTACAGGAGCGGCTAAGTGCTTCTCTTTCATTATTTCATCGAAACCCTCACCAGAGCCCTATAGAGTATATGCAGGCTCCTCTGTCCATGGAATTCTCCAGGCAAGAATATTGGAGTGGGTTGTCATTTCTTTCTCCGGGGAATCTTCCTGACCCAGGGATTGAACCCAGGTCTCCTGCACTGCAGGCAGATTCTTTACCATCTGAGCCACTGGGAAAGCCATGGAGTATATGCAGGTATCCCTGCTGACACCTGAGGGAGCTGAGAGCCAGATGGGTGAACGGTCCTGCCCAAGGTCACACTGCTAGAAAGCAATGGGGGCTGTATTTGAACCCAGAACCCATGGGAGCAACCACTGTTAGCTGGCATCAGTGCTTTCCAAGAGAACGCTGAGTTCTGGCTAAGAGCCAGGTGGGACTTCCTCAGGTCCTGTCCCAGGAATTCGCCTCCACACTCTCCTCCCACCCACCATTGCATTAAGCCTCTGGTAGTTTCAAGGCTGGAGAAGGCAATGGCAACCCACTCCAGTACTCTTGTCTGGAAAATCTCATGGACGGAGGAGCCTGGTAAGCTGCAGTCCATGGGGTCGCTGAAAGTCGGACAGGACTGAGCGACTTCACTTTCACTTTTCACTTTCATGCATTGGAGAAGGCAATGGCAACCCACTCCAGTGTTCTTGCCTGGAGAATCCCAGAGACGGCGGACCCTAGTGGGCTGCTGTCTATGGGATCTCACAGAGTCAGACATGACTGAAGTGACTTAGCAGCAGCAGCAGTTTCAAGGCCCTTTAAACCACGAGGTCCCTGGAGTTTCTCAAACACCTGGTGGGAAGGCAGGGTGGAATAAAGATCCTCACCTCCACTCCAGGACCAGGTAAAGGTCATGGACGCTCAGAGAAGTTCAGTGAGCAGCCCAAGGTCACACAGGAGAAGGGAGAACAGAACTCGAGGGCTCTGGACCTTGGTTCTGTTGCCTGACCAAGCTTGAAAACACCACCTAGACTCTACCTCCACAGGCAGGCTGCACATCTCTGAGGAAAACACAGTGTTTGGAAGTATTCTTAAGGATGTTTTAAGTTAGAAAAAACTAACATTTTTTTCCCCTTGAGGATCCAAGCAATAAGACAATACTGTGGAAAAATAGGGAGGGAAAAAAAAAGGAAATAGAAGCCACTTCTGATCTTACTACCCAGAGATAACCATTGTTAATTTTGTGGTGTTTTTCCTCCCAAATGTTAGTGGATGTTCTCCCAGCATTCCCACAGGCCTGGCCCCCGGCAGGCAGATGGAAGACTGTGTGGTTGACACAAAAAAAGCAGAGCGAGCATCCCAGGGCCCGCCCCCTGCCTTAGTCCCGCCCCTCCGGACTCCCACGTAAACCCACTGGCATGCCTTGTTTCCCAGCGCCTCCTGCTCCCAGAACATGACACCACTTCCGGCAGGTGCCCCCCAGCCTGTGTGGGCGAAGGGGCGGGGTCTCACCATGGCCAGCTCCGCCTCCAGCTCCTTCATCCGGTTGTCCTTGAGGTCCAGCTGGGAGCGCAGTGCTGTGGCGTGGTCCGTGGCCTCCTTGGCTTGGCGCCGCAGCTCCCACTTCTCGCGCTCCAGCAGGTCCTTCTCCTTAGCCAGAGCTTTCACAGCATCCTCGCTTTCCTGCGGGGAGAGGCCAGCATTACCAGGGGCGTGGGTGGGGCCAACCTTTGGCCAGGAGATGCCCAGAGGCCCTTGACCCCTGGACTAGCAGAATGTGTGGGGGTGGGGGGGGTCCCCCATGCTCGGGCCCTGGAGGAAGAAAGCCCTGGGTTCAAGCTGGTCTCTGCCACACACTAGCTGGGAGACTGGAGCAGAAACAAACCATTAGTAGATGCTCAGCCATTATTTTTTCAGTGGATAAACAAGCAAACGAATGTCATGGATAAGTTCTTTTAACTCAAGTTTTCGTTTCTCCATATTTGAAATGGGGGCAGGGAATCAACACTACTCCTATCAAAGAACTGTTATAAAGATTAAATGACTCCACGTGAAGGAAATAGTTAAACGGAGTCTAATAAAAGGGTCAACAGTGGGTTTGGGCTTGGTCCTCTGTTCTACTGTTTGGTAATGTGTGTGTCACGGGAAAACAGTGACAGAGGAGACATCTACAGCCCGGCCACCTGGGCTGCCATGGGGCCCTGTCACCATCCTCCAAGGTCACAGCTGATGATGGGATAAGTTGGACCCCCAGCTAGCTGTGGTGTCTGACTGTAGGACAGTTCTCTGCCATTCACCCTGGGCCCTGCTCCCCGCTGGTATATCTTCATGGGCTGTTTTCAACGTGATGCTGAGGGGAGGGCCATGGGCTCCAGCTATGCTGGTCCAGGAAATCCAGCAGACAAGGAATAGCTGGCTGGATCAGAAGACCTGACCTCTGTTGCCAAGGGCCAAATTTCATGATCCAGGGCATCTTTCCCTTCCAGAGAAAGGGTTCCAGCCAGGGGCCCTGCCTACCCAACCACCCACAGTCTTTTCACCCGCTAAATTGGGAGCCAAACTCAAGGTCTCTGTGTAGCCTGGGTCCGAGCTGGGAGTGGCCATCCCGTCTTGTCTAACAGCCCTGCAGCCAAAGGCCTGACTTCCAGATGGTCAGAGACCAAGAGGCCGAGGGAGACATCTGGCCCTTCCTCTGTGGCTGTCACAGAGCTGGATCTGTGGCTTAGGATCCAGGGAAGGAGAGAGTCTGGGTCGAATTCTGGCTCTGAAGAACAAGTTGCAATGACTGCTGTGCCTCAGTTTCCTCATCTGTTACATGGGATCATAGCACCTATCCTTGAGGGTATTACCATGAGGATCAGATGAGATAATCCAAATTCAGAGTTTAGCAGGGCACCGGGCACATGGCAGGGCTTCCCAGGTGGCGGCTAGTGGTAAGGAACCCACCAGCCAATGCAGGAGACTTAAAGAGATATGGGTTCGATCCCTGGGTCGGGAAGATCCCCTGGAGGAGGGCATGGCCACCCACTCCAGTATTCTTGACTGGAGCATCTCATGGACAGAGGAGCCTGACAGGCTACAGTCCATGGGGTCCCAAAGAGTTGGACATGACTGAAGCGACTTAGCAGGGCACACAGCAGGTGCTCACTCATTCATTCTGGATGCTCCTCAAATGTCTTCTTCAGGAGGCCTTTCCTGACCAGCCATCTAAGAGAGCGGCCCCAGCCTTTCCCACCCTGTTTCTTATACCAGTACCTGACACTGTCATTCAACCAATATCCATGGATGCCACCAGCAGGCACAAATCAGACAAAAGTCTCTGTGCCCACGGAGCTTACACTGAAAAGCCCTTCTGCACGCTCTAGCTCATTAGCAGACGTCAGGGTCCCAAAGCAGCAGCCAAGAAACACTGCTGAGTAAAAGGAAGTGTGCGTGGCAGTTGCTGTGACGACTCTGAAGGCCATCACAGGACAGCTCTCCCAGCTTGGGTGCGGGGAAGACACGAGTGTCTGTGTCACCAGCCCCTGGCTTCTCAGTAGAGTCTAGAGCAGGTGGGGTGTGTGTTGGGGGACGATTTCTTCTAGGACTGTCTCCTGGGGTCAGGATGCCTGGGTGTGAGTCTCTGTTCCATCCATGGCAAGCTGTGACGCATGGAGCAAGTGATGTTAACTTCCCCAAACCTCAGCCACCTCGTGTGTGAGCCAGTGACACTATCACGTCTCCAGAGTGATGGTCAGAAGAAACTGGTAATGCAGGATGCAAAGTAACATGAACTTCCCTGGTGGTCCGGTGGTTAAGAATCCATCTTGTAATGCAGGGGGCAGGGGTTCAATCCCTGGTCGGAGAACTAAGATCCCACATGCCACGGGGCAACTAAACCTGTGTGCCTCAACTAAGATCCAATGTAGCCAAATAAATATGGTTTTTAAAAAAGATGCAAAGTGACAGACGGCACTATTGTAAAATCCCAGGCAAGCTGTACTATTAGGTTCTGGAAGCAGGCTCTCCAATGCAGGGAGGCGCTCCACCACTACTTATTTCTCCTTTCCTTTCCTTTTTGAAGCTGTCTTCAGGTGGGGTCAGTGCAACAGCTGACAAGTATGGCCCCCTGTGTCACATGATGGACCAGCCAGCTCTTTCCCCAGAAGCTGGGGACCATGTCCCAGCATCCATCTTCAGGACCTAGCAGCAAGCCTAGTCATGGAATATCCCATGCTATGAAGTGTGTGGATCAGGACCACTGAGAACTGGTTGGTGTACATGAGACTGCCTACCACATATCCCCAAATTTAAAAAAAGGTCCACTAGAACCCTCAGGATCAGCTTTGTCTCCGTGTCTCTTTGCTGTCCCTAGCCCCACTAGTTGTGGGCAGACTGGAGGTTCAGGCTATGTGTGTGGTGGGCGGGGGGTGGGGGTGGGGGTGGGGGTGGGGATAGGTCGGAGGCTGTAGGTGCTTTCTGCCTCAGTAAAGACTCTGACATCCATGACCACACCCCTGGCAGGAGTGCAGGGCTCAGTAACAACTGTCATGGAATGTTCTGTACACATGTCAAGTACGGTGCTAAGGGTTTTAGCTGCATTATTGTATTTAAACAACCACCTGTGAGGCAGGGACTATGATTATCCCCATTTTACAGATGAGTAAACTGAGACCATAGAGGTAAAATAACCTCTGCAGCCTCACAAATAGTGTGGTGGAGGTTCTCAATCCTTGCTAGCAACAAAGGCAGGAAAGGAATTGAAGGAGAACTGCCCAAGGGGCTGGAACCTGATGGGGGTCAGGGTGGCTGGAATTTGTGAAGGTAGGACTTAGCCTGATTGTGTGGGGCCTCAGATGTCAAGCTGGGAGCTGAGGTCCCTCTGGGCATCTGGGAGCTGAGCCCTGGCAGCCGGAGCTCACCGGACAGAAGAAGTAGGGGCACTATGAGGAGGGGGCTTTAGGGGAAGACAGGCCTGGCCAGGGGGTAATGGCAAGGTGGTCTGTTTTGACTTCGCCACCCAAGATCTCTCTAGGCCCAGCCATTGCCCAGCTTGCTGAGACCTTCCTCAGTTGTGTTTATGGAGAGTCCCCCAGTCCTGCTCCAAACCACAGAGCTGTGACAGGGAATATGCCTCTGGCATAGCTTCCTGGGATATTGCAATTCTGTGAACATTCTGGTTGGGCCCCAAATTGCTCATTTCTAAGCAGCCTGTGCCTGTGCTGACCTTTCCTGCCCCCCACCCCCCCGCCCCCAGCTCAGAGACCTGGGCTCCTGTTACCTGCTCTGGGTGAGGCCTGCAGGGGGTTCCCTGGGAGAGCTGGCTGAGCCATGGCAGGCTGAGTGGCTGGGCATCAAGAGGGTTGGGCACCTGAGGTTCCATTCATCCTGTTCATGGGGATATTTTTTCTTGCACATAAAATGCAAGCCATTAAAAAAAAATAAATTGCAAGATCTTTGACAAGGTGGAATAAAACCAGAATTTGTGGTTTTAGTGCCTCTAAACTATCCCTAAATATATGGCCCTGAGTCAGCTACTGGACCCTTTGGCGCCTCAGTCCTCCCATCTGTAAAGTGGGATTGGATTCAACAATGGTTAAATATCATCTCAGTGTTGCTGGGCTTCCCTGGTGGCTCAGATGGTAAAAACTCTGTCAATGAAGGAGACCTGGGTTCAATCCCCAGGTTGGGAAGATGCCCTGGAGGAGAAAACAGCAACCCACTCTAGTATTCTTGCCTGGGAAACCCCATGGACAGAGGAGCCTGGTGGGCTACATTCCATTGGGTCACAAAAGAGTCGGACATGACTTAGGGACTAAACAACAACAGCTCCTCATAACATAGGATAGCAGTTTAAAAAATTGAGTGCTTTCCAAATTCTGTTTTTCTGAATGATTCTGTAGGGTCTTGTGAAGCTATCCCATGAGAGTGACACTGATGCTCAATGGTGACCACCTATGCCTGCCCGGGGCTGCTGCAGCCGCAAGGCTTCAGCTTCACACCACACCTCTCTTCTTGCTGGACTTAGGAGATGCCCCCAGTTACCTGTGACTTAAGAAAAACAGCACCATGCTGGAGGAAGGTGGCTCCCCACGGGGATTTTATTCTCAAGTATCAGCACAATTATAAAAATGAATTTGATGCCCCAGTTGAAAGATATTAATAGAAGAAATGCTTGTTATTAAAACCCCAGGTCAGTCACAGTGCCACCACCAGGCACAGCACACCCCCCACAGCTCATGGGGGTGGCTGTGACCTCTCCTCCCTGGTTTGCCTTGGGTTGCCTTGTAAACAGTGAATCTCGAAAGTAATTCATTTGTTCATCTATACAGGTACGGAGCAGTGTGGGAGGCCAATACGGGCCAGGTGTTATGCAAATGAGCACCAGAGCCTAAATGCCTGGGTTTGTATCCTGCTTCCCCTCTTCACATAACTGTGTGACCCTGCATGAGCGACTTGGCCTACGTCTCAGTTTTCACCTGTAAAATGGGGCTAACCGCGACAATCATACTGCATAGGGTTGCTGGAAAAATACCAGATGTAAAGAGATTATGACAATGCCTGCATACCGTAAGTCCTCCTGCGTCAGGTGGTGATAGGTGGCTTCTGAAGATGGCCATTGTCACACTCATTGTCAGAGTGTGTGAAATGGCCCTTTCTTTTTGATCCTCTTAGCCTTTTATCATAAGCATCACATGCTTTTTCTTATTTATCTATTTATTTACACCACATGGTTTGCAGGATCTTAATTCCCTGACCAGGGATCAAACCCAGACTAGAGCAGTGAAAGTGTGAAAGTGCCAAGTCCTAATCACTGGACCACCAGGGAATTCCCACCTCTTTGCTTTTCCGATCTGGCTCTATCCTCCTTCAAGGTGCCTATACTCTGGAAATACCTTCCCCACCCTGTGTTCCTAGATCCTCTGGTACCCCTGGAACTCCCCAGAAGGTCCTGTCTGGGGTGGTTCTTGCTTTTTTACCGAGACTCTCCCATCTCCTGGAAGCAGGGTCCATGACTGGGGTCTGTGAGGCCAGCTAGGACCTAATGTGAGAAACACTCTCGTTAGCCCAAACTCAAAGAATGGACTTGGAGACATAAGGTGTAGGGGAAAGCCAGGCTTTAATGACGGTCTTGCAAGGTGGAGTGTCTGGTGGGCAGGAACACCCAGAGTTGTTACACAGAGCAAGTTATCCTAGCGTGCAAGTCCCTCCCCCAGTTCCTCATTGGCTGAGTACTATGGTTCACTATGGGGTGAACAATCTTCTTAGACATTGCCTAGGTTTGTTCCCTCCCTCTTTATGGGCTGGCCCCTCCCTGACATCCCTGCAAAGAGATCAAACCAGTCAATCCTAAAGGAAATCAACCCTGAATATTCATTGGAAGGACTGATGCTGAAGCTGAAGCTCCAATACTCTGGCCACCTGATTCAAAGAACCGACTCATTAGAAAAGACCCTGATGCTGGGAAAGATTCAAGGCAGGAGGAGAAGGGGCGACAGAGGATGAGATGGTTGGATGGCATCACTGACTCAATGGACTGAGTTTGAGCAAGCTCCGGGAGATGGTGAAGGAGAGGAAAGCCTGGCGTGCTGCAGTCCATGGGGTTGCAGAGTCAGACACGACTGAGCGACTGAACAGCCTCCCTGACATCTTGTTTCCTCCTTTCCTGCATACCTATTTACATTCTTATGTTTTGAATTTACCAATAGGATGAGCCTGGTGAAACCCTATTCCTGTTCTTATGCTTTAAGTTCACCAATACAATGAACCTGTGTGAAAATCCTAGGCATCCCACCCTCCCTTTGTTTGCCTGGACTTTCTGCTTTTGTAAGCCTTATGGCTATCGGCTACTACATCAGCAAGCTGTCATTCAAAGCTAGCTGTTCTTGAAAATAGACCACTTTGTCTTTTTTCTTACACTGCTCCTGCCCGGCCAGGGGCTTCCTAACAGTGGGCGGCCATGTGCTTCTCTGGGTTTGCCAGGGGGACCATCACCAGTCTGTGGTGCATGAGGGGCCCATAGAAGGGCCCTGAAACCCACTGTGGAATTTTCACGGTCAAATGCCTGACTCTGAACCCTCAGAGGTGATGGTGGTAATAACAACAACAACAACAACAGCAACCATTCCCCTCCCCCCCCTCCCCCGCCACCGGCCGTGTGCTTTCTGTGTACCAGAACCTTCAGTGCTGACAAGGCTGGGCTCCAGTACTTGCTATCATTATCCCAGTTTTAAGGATGAGGCCACTTGGCTAGTGACTGGCAGGGGTCAGATTCTAAACTTTATCTGGTCTTAACCTCTGCATCACCCTGCCTTCAGGGCCAAGTGTGATGGTTAATTTTATGTGTCAACTTCACTAGACCATGGGGTGTTCAGATTTTCGGCTAAACATTATTTCTGGGTGTGTCTGCGATGCTGTTTCAGATGAGATTAAGATCTCAACGGGTAGGCCCAGTGGATGGCTCTCCCCTATGTGAGTGGGCATCACCCAATCCTTTTGAGGCCTGAGTAGAAAGTGGAGGAAGGATGAAACTGCCCTCTCTGCCTGAGAGCTGAACTGGGGATGAGTCTCCTCCTGCCCTTGGGTGGAACTTACAGCTCGGCTCTCAGGCCTCTGGACTCCTACTGGATGATGCCACGGCTCTCCTGGATCTCCAGCTGGTAGATGGCAGATCATGGGACCTGCTGGCCTCCGTGATCATGTGGGCCAACTCCTTCTAATAAATCGCGCTCTCTCTCTCTCTCTCTCTCTCTCTCTATATATATATATATATATATATATATATATATCACTTCCCTGGAGAACACTGACTAACACACAAGGGAGCTGATGACCCGAGGACAAGTGGGGTCAAGGACGAGGACAGCCTGGGGCCTGCCCCTCGCCCTTGGGGACAGCACATCCCTGGACGCAGGCATCGCCGTGGGCTGATTCTCTGGCCCCTGCCCTGTGTCACCTCCCCTCAAACAAGGATGACTGTGTTTCCCTGTTGATGGGCATGGGGCCACTTGAGCAAAGGTTCTCTATGTCTCACCTACTGAAGAAAGATCAGGCTCTTAGGACCTACTCCAGGTGCTTCAGCTAGGAAAACAGAATGGACAGAGGTGGACTCAGAGAGGTGGGTAGTCCTATTGTTCGAATGTCTGTGTCCCGCCAGAATTCATATGTTGAAATCCCAGGGCCTCCCCTAATGGTCCAGTGGCTAAGACTCCACACTCCCAATGCCTGAGTTCAATCCCTGGTCAGAGGCCTAGATCCCACATTCCACAACTAAAGATCCTGCATGCCACAACTAAGACCTGGCACAGCCAAATAAATAAATACTTAAAAAGAAAAGAGAGCAGAAAGAATCCTAATGTGATTATTTTAGGAGGTGGGATCTCTGGGAGGTGCTTATGTCATGAGGGTGGAGCCCTCATGAATGGGATTAGTGCCCTTAAAAGAGACCCCAGAGAGCTCCCTTGACCCTTCTGCCAAGTGAGGACACAGAGGAAGTCTGGGATGCAGAAGAGGACCAAGAAAGCGGGTAGCAGTGGTTCCCATTCCTCCTCTCTGCTTCCACAGGCTATTGACTGAGTGCCACACTCTGTCTGCAAATGACAGGCATGGGGAGGCCAACTTCCAGGGACTGAGCTCACCTACTGTAGAAGGACAAGCATGAGAAGCTGGGGTCCTGCTGCTCGGGGCTGACACCCGGGGCAGCTGGGAAACTGTGGACCACTCAGAGGCTGTGGATGCCTGGCCCAGGGAGCTCCCCCAGGGCTGTTCTCATTCTGGAAGGGAAGGAATCTGTATACTTGGGCGGTGAGAGGGAAGGTCACTGCTACAGACCAAAGAGGGCCGTGAGGATGAAGCATTTAAATTCAGATCCTGTCTCTGAAGTTCCTGCCTGTGGACTCTGGCTCAGAGGCAACACCCGCGAGTGTACTCATGCAACCAGCCCACCAGCTGTTGGGAGAACTGCTCAAACCTCCTATGCCTGAGGAAACTTAAGAGTTTCCCACCTCCATTTTCTCTGCAGAGTATAAGCAAACCTTGGTCACACCCGCTGCCATGTGGTATCAGGCACAGGGAAGTTTTCAATAGATTTTCTGTCCTGCTCACGAGAAGGTTACAACTCTCCCTGCAAACATAATGGCTCATAAGGCCTGCTTGGTTTCGGGGACCAACTCTCTTTCCTTTATGTTTCAGTACTCTGTATGGCATGCACATGTGTGCTAAGTTGCTCATTCGTGTCCGACTCTTTGTGACCCCGTGGACTGTAGCCCACCAGGCTCCTCTGTCCATGGAAATTTCCAGGCAAGAATACTGGTGTGGGTTGCCATGCCGTCCTCCAGAGGATCTTCCAACCCAGAGATCAAACCCATGTCTCTTATATCTATCTCCTGCATTGTCAGGCAGGTTCTTTACCACTAGTGCCTCCTGGGAAGCTCTCTATGGCATGACCACAGAACATATACCAGATATTGACTGAACCAAATTCCTCAGTCATCTGACCAGAAACTCCTACTCACCCCACAGAGCCTGACTTGTATGTCACCACCTCTGTGAAGCCTTCCAGGGCTGTCTCCTGGAGGAAGAATTTCCTGCTATCTCATGGTTCTCCCCACTCTCTTTTCACACTCTTATTATGGTATTATTAATAAGATGCAAAGTTGACATTTAGTATGAGCACTTAGTATGTACTAGGCACCATGTTTAATGCTCTGTATTCATCATCTCACAGGGTCCTCATCAAAGCTCTGCAACGTCGGCACCATGATTGCTGTAGATGAGGAAACTGAGGCTCTGAGAGGTTAAGGAGATACCCAAGGGCATACACATGGGAAGCTGGGATCTGAACCCAGACCAGCTAGAATCCGGAGCCTACACTGTCACCAACTGGGCTTCCTGTCTAGGCTGGTCTGCCCAGGAGACACAGAGCTATGATCAGGGGCTGAGTGTATTCATCTCAGGATCCAGATCCAGGCCCAACACATCAGGGATTTCCGCCAGTGAGCATAAGGGGACATGGGCAGTCCTCCTGTGTTGAGATTCGAGGTTAGACCTTGTGCTGGGTGGGGCAGTAATAAGGCAGCCGGTGTCTGGTGTCTGTGGGATCAGGGTTGGGTGGGGAGTACCAACCTTGCGGTGCTGCTCGTAGTTGCGGATGAAGTCCCGTAGCTGCTCCTCCCGGCTCTCCAACGTGGCATACAGCTGCTGCATCTGGTTCACCAGGTCTGTCTTCTCACCCTTTAGGCGCTTCCGGTCGGCTTTCATGGCTGGAGGATAGAGGACTGAGTCAGTTCCTGAGATCCTAGCCGCCTGTCAGCCCGAATGCGAACGCTGAGAAGGGACTCTTTTCTCTACCCCTTCATGAACAGGGGAGGAAACAGGGTTCAGAAAGAGGTCATTTCTCTCCCAGGCTCCCACATTGCTCAGTGGCATTCCCTGGATTCAAACTCAGGCCCTCCTATCTCTAGAGTCCCAATTCTCATTTATTACTTTTACTGACCCAGCCGGGGGGGGGGGGCACTCCCTGATTGCAGGTCTGTTCCCGCCCTGAACAGATCCCCGAGTGAAAGAGCTGGAGGCCTGGTGAGTTTGTGACTCCCACCACCCAGGAAGCTGATGGGACCTTCATTTCCTGCTGAAATGACCTCTCAGAATCCAATATGAGCCACTAGAACTTAGCCCAGCCCAAGAGTTCACTGTTTGTGCCATTCCCTTCATGGGGAAAAGTGTCTGATTAAAAATACTCAGCAAGTTATGGGGCCAAACGTATGCGCAACAGAAGGAAAAAAAGAGAGAGGGGACTTCATCAAAATTAAAAACTCTGTGCCTCAAGGGACACCACGGAGAAAGTAAACAGACAATGCAAGGAACAAGAGAACAAATTTGTAAGTCATATCTGATAAGGGGCTTATATAAAGTAAAAGCATATAAAGAACTCTTAAAGCTCAATGATAAAAAGATAAATAACCCAATTTTAAAAATGGGCAAAAGACCTGAACAGATTTCCCCAAGAAATCGCCAATAAACACCTGAAAAGGTGGTTGACATCATCAGTCATCAGGGAAATGCAAATCAAAACTATAGTGAGATGCTATTTCACACTCACCAGCATGGCTAAAATATAAAAAGAAGACAGTAACAAGTGTTGTCGAGGATATGGAGAAACTAGAACCCTAAAACACTGCTGGTGGGAACGGAAAATGGTACAGGCTCTGTGGAAGACAGCCTGACAGTTCCTCAAGTGATTAATCATAAAGTTCCCCTATGATCCGACAATTCTACTCCTAGGTGTATATCTAAGAGAAATGAAAACATATGTCCACACAGAAACGTGTATACGTATGTTTACAGTATCTTTAATCATAATAGCCAAAGGGGAAAGGACCAAATGGCCATTAATTGGTGAATGAATTTTCAACAATGTAGTACATCCATATCACATATATTATTTGACAATAAAAAGAAGCAATGATTCATGCTACAACGTGATGAATCTTGACAATATTATGCTAAGTGAAAGGAGCCAATCACAAAGGGCCACATGCTATATGATTCCATATACATGAAATGTCCAGAATAGGGAAATCTGTGGAGATAGAAAGATTAGTGATTGTCTTGGACTGCGGTGGTAGAAGGCGTGGGGGCTGGAGACTTGGGGGTGTAGCCAAAGGGATGGATTCAAAGTGATGCACCCCCATTTAAAGTGACACAAATACTCTAATACTGATGTACAGCTGAATATATGTGAATATAACAAAAACAACTGAATTATGTACTGTAAATGGATGGATTGTATGCTGGGTGAATTGTATCCCAATGAAGCTGTCACACACGCGTGTGCACACACATGCACACACACACACGGTGCCCTGTGCTCCACGCAGGCTCCTGGCAACAGGTGCTCCCTCCAGACTCTGCTCACTGCACTGGCTCTGCCGTGAAGGGAGTGAGACGGGCAAGCTCGGGCTTGTGCAGGGCAGGCTCCAGCATCAGGGTGGCCCCCCCCCCACTTTTCCAGGGTCCCCTGAACTCTGTCCCCTCCCCGCTCTGTGGAGAGAACACTGAGGAAGGAACTGTGGAGGTGGTGGGAAGGGGGCAAAGCAACTCATTAGCTCTGGAAGCTTCCAGCCTCTGAAGGCGCAGAGTCATTTGCCCAGAGTCACACAGCCACATCTGACCCCAAGGCCTGAACATTTGACCTGACCTTAGGCTGCCTCTACAGGGGAGCCCCCCCAAATCCCAGAGGGTCCTGGCTCCATGGCTAGCTTAGGGCAGTGATATGGGGCAGGCAATGGTGGTGCCCCCCCATCTTATCCTGGATGCTGAGCCTACAAACTCAGCCTCTGATACGAAAAAGCATGGCGTAAGGACCGGGGACCCCGTGCTCTGGCTCAGAGCCTGACGTGAGTTGCATTTCCACCCCTCTCCCCCAGTCCAGCACTATCTGCAGAACAAGGCAGAGGCAGGCTGGCTGGAACAGCATTGGCACGTGCAAGGAGACACAGAGGGACCCTGCAGTAGGGACTCTGGGTCTTGGGGGTGGCTTTATTAATTTTTTAAAATTAATTAATTAATTAATGTCTGGGTCTTCTTTGCTGCATGTAGGCTTTGTCTACTTGTGACAAGCAGGTTTACTCATTGTGGTGGCTTCTCTTGCTGTGGAGCCCAGGCCCTGGGGTGCACATATGCTTCAGCAGCTGTGGCTCATGGGCTCTAGAGCACGGGCTCTAGAGCACGGGTTCAACAGCTGGGTGCATGGGCTTAGCTGCTCTGCGACATGTGGGATCTTCCCAGATCAGGGATCGAACCTGTGTCGCCTGCATTGGCAGGTGGATTCTACATCACTGGACCATCAGGGAGGTCCATGGCGGGGGGTGGGGGAGGTGTGGGGGGGGCGGGCTTTAAATTACAGCTTTGAGCTTCCTGGCTCTTGCAGCTGGACTTGTCACCTTCATGGCCAGCTTGCCAGAGCAGCAACTTAGGTCAGCGGGGCTGGAATTCCAGGCCTGCTGGGCCTGACGCTGGGTTGGACCCCTGGCAGGCTGAGGATCGAGAAAACACGGAAGCTGAATCTCTTGGAATGAATGCCAAGTGAAGACCACTTACAAATGAAGACAAAATGCCTCTGCAACCACAGTGAGAACCAAGAAGCTGCCATGTTGTTCGCTCAGCTTTTCAGAAGCACATCTACAACCTACTCAAGGGAACTCACACAGGGGAGCAGGACCTGGGGGCACCTGGGGATGCCCGTGCTGGCCTGAGGTGGGAAAGTGGGGGTGTGTCTCCCCATTAAGCCTGAACATGCCCGTGCATCCAGGTGCTGTTACCCCAACAGATGGGGCCTTCCCTAAAGGGGGAACCAGAATTGTAACTATTTAGGGAAATAGGGAGGTTGACCTGACAGACTCCCCAAGCAATAATATAAACTACAGACACACAGCTATGAAAATTACACAGTGGGAGGTGTCCTTCCTTCCTTTGTCATAAGCATACTTTTATTTCTCCTTTAAAACTGTTTGACATTCTCTAAACGTTCCTAACGCAAGAGGTGACAGGTGATGCTCTGTGAGCATGAATGACGGTCTTTCTCTCTGAGACCGGCCTCCTGCCTCCTCCCCAAGTTCCCCAGTGCTCTGTTCTCCTTTTCCACCACCCAGCTTCACCCAGGTGTGTCCCGAGCCAGCAGCTGGGCCATCGGACCCACTGCCATGGTGATGGGTGATGTCATGCCCGGCAAACCCTGAGGGAAACCAACCGGGCTCCTGGGAATGTAGGGACTCCAGGGTGGAGGGCGGGTGCGTGGGGAGGGACTGATTTTTCTAACTGGAGGCTGGATGCATCGAGGATGAACTATAGCGTGCAACCAGGGGCCCAGGTGTGGCCCAAGACCATGGTGCTTTTCTGGGGACATCACTCTTTTCAAACTCCCAAGTTCTGCCTTTCCACAGCAGATTCCTTCCTCCTTCCCTGGCTCGGGACCCTACAGTTCCTAACCCAGACGCGGGGCAGGGCGAGTGGCGTCAGCCCCAGTTCAGTTTCTGCAAACACGACTCTTGGGAGATGGAGACCAGAGAGAGATGTCCCTTGACTCCAGCATAGCAGACCCCCACCTCCAGCGAGCGCCCAGGCAATGGGAGGCCACAGCTGTCGTGTAAAGAGAACAGTACAGGTTAACTGTCGGCTTCTGAGCTTCTGGGGGCTGTGGGCCTGGAGAGTAAGGGATTTTACGGGGCCCTTCTGAGCGTGAGACACATCTTCCCTGGCGGCTCAGATGGCAGAGAATCTGCCTACAATGCTGGAGATCCCGGTTCAATCCTTGGGTCTGGAAGATCCCCTGGAGAGGGGAATGGCAACCCACTCCAGTATTCCTGCCTGGAGAATTCCATGGACTGGCGGGCTATAGTCCATGGGGTTGAAAAGTGCCAGACACAGCTGAGTGACTAACACTAACTCTGAGCACGAGGTGTGGCGGGGGGTGGGGTGGGGTCTCTCCTCACCCACAGGGGCAGTGCTGCAGCGAGAATCCCGCTGGGCACAGAGGGACCAGGCTCTCACCAGGCTCTCCACTCTCCCCTTGCCCAGCCTCGGTTCCCCCACCATCATGAGCACGCTTGACTCTGTGAGCTTCCTTTGGCTCCTGAGGCCCTAGGAGACTTCGCCTTGACCACTGTCCCCCACAGAGAAGTCCAAGGCCTCGGCCAACATCACACAGCTGGGTGGGATGGGCCCTGGTCTGGGGTCAGAGGATCTTGGTTCCAGCCTTGGGTCAGAGTCCTAACCACTGGACGAGCGAATTCCCTGGCTCTGAGACCTCAAGCAAGTCATGTAACCTCCCTGGGCCTCAGTTTCCAGATATCAGAACAATTTGCATGTGCCAGGCATGGCCCTAAGCCCCTGATGGGTTTTTGTCACTTAATTCTCACAACCACCTTATGAAGTCAGTCCACGTTGTAGATGAGGAAGTGGGCATCCAGGGAGACTAAGGAACAAGGCCACGCAGCGAGCGGCAGCCCCTTGGTCCTGACACTTACCCACCCTCCTGTCCCATGGCTTTGCTGTCTCCCCAGTCGTCAACCCCCAACAAACCTACATGGCCCGGTTGACCTCTTCTGCTCCTCCGGACTTTGGGCTGGGGGTTGGGGCTGCACCTACCTTATGGAGGAGGGAACTGAGGCTCAAAGGGTTAACTGACTCACCAGGACCCATGCAGACCCTGGCCCTGCATCCTTAGCATCTGACCTTGAACCACTCACACTCCTCCATCACC